CAGTCTTCAGTTATCCAAACTGGGGATCTACTAAATTCCCAGTTTGGGGCTTCCCATTGACAGAGCCCTTGTGTGGCACCTGGCACGGTAGTTGACATAGATAACCTTTGCTGCGTTTTGTGCTGCTAGAACAACTGCCCTTAATTCTCCTACTTGTGCACTACCTTCACCTTCTTCTATTACTTATTTCTAATGTGGTGGCTTTATACCACCACCTACTGTTTACCCTCTTTGCTGATGCATCAGTGTCCTGGTTTTGGCTGGGATAGATTTTCTTTCTAGTAGCTGGTATAGTGCTATGTTTTGGGTTCAGTATGAGAAGAATGTTGATAACACACTGATGTTTTCACTTGTTGATAAGTAGTGTTTAGTCTAAGGTCAAGGATTTTCCAGCTTCTCACGCCCAGGCAGCAAGAAGGCCGGAGGGGACACAGCCAGGGCAGCTGACCCAAACTGGCCAAAGGAATATTCCATACCATGTAACATCATGCCTAGCATATAAACTGGGAGGAGTTGGCTGGGGGGGTGGATCGCTGCTCAGGAACTAACCGGGCATCGGTCGGCGAGCGGTGAGCAATTGCATTGTGCATCACTTGTTTTGTATATTCCAATTCTATTATTATTATTATCATCATTATCATTTTATTATTGTTATTATTATCATTATTATTTTCTTCCTTTCTGTCCTATTAAACCGTTCTTATCTCAACCCACGAGTTTTACTTTTTCTTCCCAATCCTCTCCCCCATCCCACTGGGTGGGGGGAAGTGAGCGAGCGGCTGCGTCGTGCTTAGTTGCTGGCTGGGCTTAAACCACGACACTACATTAGGGGGTAAAACAAGCCCGTACATGAAGGCAGGGTTGGACCTGAAGTGGGTGAGGAGCAACCTTGAGGAGACGGGCCTGGGCATTATGAGGGATGCCATACAGGGCAGTGGTGCTAAACATGAGTATGGCCATGTGCATACTGGTCTGCACTGGGAGGAGCGTGGCCACCCAGGCAAGGGGAGTTGTCACCCCCCTCCCTGCCCCCGACTGAGCACTGGTGTGGCCACATCTGGAATAGTGTGTCCCAGTGTGGGGGTCCCTGTTCTGGAGGAGTGGGGAGGAACTGGAGTGGGCGCATAGGAGGTCTGCCAAGATGGGATTAGGGACCATGTGTGGAAAGGCTGAGGCGTGGGGGCTTCATTGGCCTGGTGAAGTGGAGGCTCAGGCAAGTACAGCAGTAACTTGAGAAAGCTTGACAGTTAGTTTCAGAGTTGAGTGCGTGATATTTGGTAATGGGAGACAGCACGAGAAAGGAAAACCACAAGTAACTGCAGGTTTGGATGGCCAGATGGACATGAGGAGGAAGAAATGTCATTTGAAGGGTAGTGCTTTGATGCAACAGGTCACTCAGAGGGAGTCTGGGTTAGCCCATGATTTTGTGTTTGGAGGGACAGCCAGTGAGGATGGAGAGGTGTCAGTAAAGGCACGGACATGCTGGGGTGAGAACAAGGTGGGGAAGTGTGCCAGATGTCTACAGCCTGCAGGGAAAGAGGCACAGGCATGGGACAGTGTATGGCAGCCTATGGTGGAGATGGCCAAGGGTGCCTGCAATGCTGACAGGCCCTGACAGAGCTGAGGTCTTTGTCCCCTTGGCTATGGCTGATATCTCTGCCACCAAGGCCTAAGAGGAGACCCATTGTCCTCATGGCACTGAGGTTACGTTGCCTCCTTGCACCTCCGCGGGCAGGCCGGGAGGTGTCGTACTGTTGTCCTTCACTTGGCATCACACCCCCTCACAGCCCATGAAGAGCCCTGAGCCATGCGTGATGGACAGGATCTCTCTTCTGAGGGGCTGGGGTCAGGGCTTGGCATTTGGCTTGACAAAACACACCAAGACTTTACTCAGCATCAGAGCCACCAGCACTTTGCCTTTGCCTGCCTGTCATCACTGCATCCAGTTTCCTGCTCTAACGAGTCCATGGGGAGGCTGTGTTGGTAATGGCCCTCAGTGGGGCTCATTAATACTCCAAGAAACTTCAGCACTTTCTTCTGACTTTGCTCCTTGAGCATCTTGTGCAATCTCCTCTCAGCATTGCAGATCCATGGACTCAGCACCAAAACCATCATGGGGCTCATTACAAGGCAGAATCCCTCAGGTGCCTTGTCTCTTCCCATAGTTTTCTTCAAGTCTTCAAGACTTGTACAGCTAATTGGAGAGGTTTCAGGATGGTAGTTAAAGAGGAAGAGTTCAAGGAGCTTTTAAGATAAAAGGCTTTTTACTTTTAAAGGTAATTTTTTGTTGGGTTTTTTTGTTTACAGAAGAAGTGATAGCAGCATTCTCCAATTGATATTGATCCAGAGGGTCACCTAAGCAGATATGGGCAGGTAGCAAAAGCAATCCCTTGAGGCCAGACACTCTATGGACAGCCTTGCTCATCACCTCCCCAACCCCAGCGTTTTTCTGTTTGGACCTCTGGGCTTTGCACCACTTGTCCTTGCATCAGACCTCTTCACTGAAGTCTGCAGCTGGATGTTACAGCTCCTTGGCACCAATTCCCACCTGCTTTCCTCAGAGAACTGGCTGCACACAGGCATGGGAGGACTTGTCCTCATTGCCAAAACCCAAAAGTTACACATGATGCAATTTAATAAGCTTTAAAACGCTCTCCTCAACTGTATGCCAAGTCCAGGCTGCAAGTCCAAGAGCTAGGAAAGGATAGATATAAACATAATTAAGGAGTTGACTCAAGAGTTGATTCAGCTTCTCAGAGATGGAGCAAGTTTCTAACTCCCTGAAGCTCAAAGCAGCAACCAGATAGTTTGGAGGTATCTGAATGATCAAAGAGCAAGGGGAGGGGGAAATCTGGAGAGATACAAGGGTGTGCATCCATATAGTCTGCTGAAAAGATGCCTTTAGACATGGTCATTTGATCAGGAGAGGTGGGAACACCTGAAAGGCGAGGGAGATTAAACACACAGTGTAATAGAGTAGTGGTAATGCAAGTGCAGAAGGAGATCAATATTTCTTCTCCCATGATTAACGCACTTCCCGGAAATCCCCTTTCTGGCATGGTGGGAAAACATTGCCATTTTATTAAAAGTCCTCAGGTGTTTCAGCCTGAGCTTGAACCAGCTGGATTTCGAAAACCTCCCAGGACAGAGACTGCATGGCCTATCTGGCTGACCTGTTCCAACAGCTGATTGAGCTGATGGTGAAAATTTTTTCCTTATGTCTAGGCTGAACCTCTCCTCTTCCACCTTCCACCCATGTTTTTGTCCTCCCACAATGCACCATCACGAAGAGCCTGGCTCTTTATTCTCTGTGACCTCCTCACAGGTAAGGCAGGCTGTGATGAGGTCTCCCTCAGCCTCCCTTGGCCTCTTGGCCACTTGGCTTCTGCTCACAGGACCCCCCACCTGGGGGCCATTCACTGAACCCGCTCCAGCTTGCCAACATCTTTCCCGTATTGGGGATCTGAAATATGGATGCAGTAACCTGGATAATCCCTCCCCTTGATCTCCTGGCCATGTTCCTGGTCATACAGCCGAGGACGCTGTTGGGCTGCCTTGCTTCAGGGAACACAGCTGCCTCCTGTCCAGATCGCTGACCACCAAGACCTTCTCCACAGAGCTGCTCCCCTGCCAGGATGCTCCCAGCCTGTGCCATTGCCAGGGTTAGTGCATTGCAGGGGCAGAAACCAGCATTTGTCCTTGTGGGGTTTCACGAGGTTCCTGCCAATACATGCTCTCCTCCTCCTTGAACCCTCTCCCTAACACAGGGTAGGGTCCTGGCGAGCTTTTCATTAATGATGAAGGCAAAGAAGGCATTGAGTCCCTCAGCCTCATCTGTGTCTGCTGTTACTAAATCACCCTCCCCATTCAGCAGCAGCCCTGCATTTTCCTTGTTCAGCCTTGGTCTCCAAGGAGTGATCAAAGCTCGCTGTTTTCCTCTCGACTTTCCTTGCAACCAACTGCAGGTAAGCTTTGCCTGTGCCAAAATCATACCTGCACAACGAAGGCAATGCACACGAATTCCTTGTTTGTACCTGTCTTTGCTGTCACCCTCTGGATGCTGCTTTGTGGCCCCGTCATCACCCTGTCCCTTGGATGGCCAAGCAACGGAGCTGCAAATATTGTTCCAGACCAGCCCAGTCTCTCCTGTGCCTGCATGTCTCGGCTCCCATCCACGAGCCCTGGCTGTGCACCACAACCCCCTGGTGTGAATCCTCACCCTGCATGGTCACACAGCTCAGCTAACTTTGGTGGTGTCCTCTCCCAACTTTCCAGCCCGGCCCAGTCCCTTCTTGGCTCTTCTCATCTTGCCAGCAAAAGAGCAGCCTGCCCCAAGCTGGTGCATGCAGAAGTAGGTTTCTCCTCGTCATTTATTCCCCCTGGAAGCACAGAGTTGCTCCTCTGCTCTTCCCCAGGGACACCCCTGTCCCAGAGAGCCTTTCCCCATGGGAGTGTGTCCGTGCTGGCCTGGCCGTCCCCTCCTGCCCCCTCCTTGTGCTCCCCGCAGAGCCCTGAGCCGGTGGTGCTGCCCTGCAGACTGAGAGGGCTGTGGTGCCCAAAAGCCATGGGGAGACAGTCCCAGGGAGATCCCTTCTGATCATTCACCATCTCCACGGGAACTGGTCACACAGCCCAGGCCTCCTTCCCCAACACATCGCCCCATGCCCTCCTCCCCGGAGCCCATGGAGAACCCAAGCACCACACCATGGCCTTGTAGGGGCAATCTCTTCAGCCTGTTTTTGACTTCAGCTTTGGAAGAAGAGCCCAACCTCCAGACACTGGCACTGAGCCTTTTATTACAGAGATGCGACGCAGGAGACCAGCTGTAACATCATGCCAGAGACATGTACAAAGGTCTCTGAGTCGGACAGACTGGGTTCATGTCACTGGAGAAGTGGAGTAGATGCAGACATTCCTGGACAAACATGATTATCACAAACCAAATCCCCAAAGCAGAGGAGGAACAGTTCCTGAGATGAACTGGAAAATACTTGTAAAGGTTATTGCTGCTGAAAGACAAGTGATTGAATCAGCTTCTTCAGCGTGTCTTTGAGCTCCTGGTTCCTCATGCTGTAGATGAGGGGGTTCATTGTTGGGGGCACCACCGTGTACACAACTGCCATGACCAGATTCAAAGATGGTGAAGAGATGGAGGGGGGCTTCAGGTTGGAAAACATACCAGTGCTGAGAAATAGAGAGACCACGGCCAGGTGAGGCAGGCACGTGGAAAAGGCTTTGTGGCGTCCCTGCTCAGAGGGGATCCTCAGCACAGCCCTGAAGATCTGCACATAGGACAGCACAATGAAAACAAAACAGCCCCAAAATACGAGAGCACTAACCCCAAGAAGCCCAACTTCCCTGAGGTAGGAGTTTGAGCAGGAGAGCTTGAGGATCTGGGGAAGTTCACAGAAGAACTGGTTCACAGCATTGCCTTGGCAGAGCGGCAGTGAAAATGTATTGGCAGTGTGCAGCACGGCATAGAGGAACCCACTGCCCCAGGCAGCTGCTGCCATGTTGGCACAAGCTCTGCTGCCCAGGAGGGTCCCGTAGTGCAGGGGTTTGCAGATGGCAACATAGCGGTCATAGGCCATGAGGGTGAGAAGAAAATACTCCACTGACATCAAGAAGAGAAAGAAAAAGACCTGAGCAGTGCATCCTGCATAGGAAATACCCCTGGTGTCCCAGAGGGAGTTGGCCATGAATTTGGGGACAGTGGTGGAGATGGAACCCAGGTCAAGGAGGGAGAGGTTGAGGAGGAAGAAGTACATGGGGGTGTGGAGGTGGTGGTCGCAGGCTACAGCGATGATGATGAGGCCATTGCCCAGGAGGGCAGCCAGGTAGATGCCCAGGAAGAGCCAGAAGTGCAAGAGCTGCAGCTCCCACATGTCTGCGAATGCCAGGAGGAGGAACTGGGTGATGGAGCTGCTGTTGGGCATTTGCTGCCTCAGGGCACTGCTCAAGAGGGAAAAGGCAGTGAGAAAGTTAGAGAAGACTTCTCTGAGCAAAACAGAAGGAATTTCTCATGGATTCTCCCCCTGCTACACACACCCTCTTTTCCTTTTCCAGGAGACCTACCTTCAGCTCCGTGGTTGGAGCTTTGGTTGCTGCTGGCTGACTGTGCCGTGAGGAGCAGAGCTTCCGCTGACAGAATGCCCAGAAGTCAGCCCTGCTCTGCAACAGCGGGTTCATAGAAATGGTAGGGGTGGGAGAGATTGCCCTCATATGCTTCTCTGAAAAGCTACCAAGCAGTGCTGAGAGCAGAGGGATCCACTGCAGACCATTAAATGTCTCACCTCTTCTCAAGGTCTCAGCACCCCACTTCTAGCCAAGGACACACGTGGCTCATTTCACCGACCCAACAGCATTTCTTCAGTCATAGCATCTCTGTGCTTCTCCATGGGGCTTTCAGATAACACAAAGGTGTTATTGGGCAGACTTGCACCCTGGAGGGCAGCTTGCAGCTTGGAAGGACCCCTCAAGGAGATAGCCAAGTGCCCTAGCGATGGTATCTCATTAAGGGATGACATCAACATTGGTTGGCAGCTGCTCTCAGCCTCTGTGCTCTTCAGAGGGAAATGGGCGAGATGCTGGAGAGCTGCGCCACGGCTCTGCTTCAGCTCTGGCTGCAGAGGAAGCGGTTCATGGTTCGGACCCCACAGCCCCGAGGGCAGAGGCTTTGCTGGGTGGGAGAGAGGCAAGGGTCTTGCTCAGAGGAAGGGATCCGCATTGGAGGGGATGATACGGAGTTTTCTGAATTCTCCCTCCCATAACATTTCTGGTTTTAGTTTCCTCTCATTCTCTGATCATATCCCTGCTGCCTGGAGATTTTCCTACAGGGAGATGTTTCCCTGTCCCATGCCTTTGCCCTGTCAGGGCTCAGAGCTCCCATCCCAGCCTCTGTGCACTTGTCTTTGCTCCAAGAAACCTGCCTGTTTGCAGGGCACTGGCTGGGCACATGTTCATGCTTGCAGGTGGAAAAGGGCAGGTCAGAACAAACCTGATGGGTCCAGCAAAGCTGATGCTGGTGCTGTCCATAGGCAGAGGAGTGGCTGAAGGCACTTCAGGAGGCTCCTAGCAGATCTACTGATCACTCAAAGTTACAGTCCAGGAGTGTCAGTGACCTGTTCAAACCTAAGAGTTCCTTTTCCATTTCTTCCTCTCCCCCCACCTCGCAACCATAGGAAACTAAAAAAACCCCTAACCATTTAAAGCTCTTTAACTTTACAGTAATCCCTGCTTTGACTTTCCTGTCAAAAAGTCCCCCAGGAAATGTCCTGGAGTGATGTGGAGCCCCGAGCAGCCCTGGCCCACGCAGCACCCTCCCAACAGCAGAAGGAGCCTGCCCTGCCGGGGGTTGCTCCTTCCACCCACAGCTTCTCCCCAGAGTGCCGTGGGGAGCAGAGCCCCGGCACACAGAGCCCTGGGGTGCAGGGACCCTGCTCTGAAGGACAGCCCTGGGCACCCCTGGGTGCACGCCCGGCTTCACAGCCCTGCAGTCAACCCCGGGAAAAGGGACCTGTGATGCCCTGTCCCTCAGAGGGTGCAGCGGGGAAGCCCTGCTCTGCACCACATCCTTCTCCACGCGAAAGAAACCCTGAGAGCCACCCTGCCAGATCCTATCTGCTCTGGGATGTGCCAGCTCTAGGAGATCCCTCCGGGAAACTCGGGGACATTGCCCTGCAGCCAGAGACTTACTGGGTTATGAGCTGTGATGATTTCTTCCCCAGCGAGCTCTCAGCATCCTCCCACTCCACACTGCCTGTAACCTCTCTCCTGCTTCTCGCCTCTCCTCTTGCTGCCTGCAGGCAGTG